TAGCACCACAGTCCCCATATTTGTTTGTTTATTTTTTTTAACCAGACTGCAATATCATATATCATCTATCAACTTTTTATGTTATTTTTAAAATAATCTTTCCATTTCAATCTACAACCATAATAACATGTACTCAGAAATCTCATTTTCTGCTCATGCGAAGGGCTCCCTGTTTTTTCCAAAGTTTGCACTAAGCTTGCATTCAAATCTTAGGAATTCCTGTTATAAGATTTGTATTTATGGTGAGACACTTTCAAAGATTGTTCCAGGCTAAAAAACACCATTACTTTTCCTATTACAATGTGGAGAATGATTGGTAGTTGAAAAATGGGGGAAACCTTCCACTAAGGAGTCAGATAAAAGTGTTCATATAAATCTTATATCAATATCTCCAGAATACACAGTTGGTGAAAAATGTGATTTTTTTTTACACTGTCACTTTTTAAAAGAAAAGTTTTGTCTTTTTGTTTTCTTAGTGCATGCAGCGATACTTACACCAGTACAATGCAAGCAGCAAGACCCCAATGAATCTAGTAATGTTCCATTTTGCAACAGAGCACATTTCTAGAATAAGCAGAGTTCTAAAACTCCCATGTGGGCATGCTCTGCTGATTGGTAAGAAACTACCTTAATATAATTAGTCTACTTTTTGTAAATGTATGCTATACATATTGTTTATACCAGGGGTAGGCAAACTCAGGCCCTTCAGCTGTGGGGAAACTACAAAGCTCACCATGCATCTGCCCCTATGAGTCATGCCTGCGATTGTCAGTCTTGGAATGCCTAATGAGATCTGTAGTTCCATATCCGCTGGAGGGCTGGAGTTTGCCTGTCCCTGGTTTATATTATTTTCTAAGATGTAAAAAAGATATTTAAAATTGGTATGACTGTATGTTTGCATGAATTAAAGCAATGCATCTCACAACTTAATAACATATGATCTAGTATGTATATGTCTGCATCTATACAGCACCATAGGGTTAATTTACAAAAGGAACTAGGCTGTTTACTTTGAAGGATATTTTCACTTTGCAAGGGTGTTTTTCCTTAGTTTAGTAAATGTGGTGAATATTCACTTGGCACAGAATATACAATCATGTGTAAGAGGAATATTGAAACCGTTTTTTTGCTTGCACATGGTTGGATGATGGAAGTCAGCAGAGCTTCACCTCATTCATTATGCTAAGGGCTAAGGGAAAATTCCTTTGCAAACGAAAACTTCCTTGCAAAGTGAACTGCCTTTTTCCTTTTTTTTCTGCCTTTGCCTTGAGTACAACAATCCCTATATATTTCAAAAAGGGTGTAGCTTTAGCTAACACACACCATACTATCGCTACATTGCCAGCAGCATAACAGCAGTCATTCTTGCTGTATAATTATTCCGTTTTAAGGGGTTAAGGTCCCATGAGTCATCATGTCCAATACAGTGTATAGGATGTGAGGATGCCAAGGGACATTCCATCATTGGAGTGGAGGGTGAGAGAGGCTGCAGGGACTGGTCTAGCAGCTCCGAGGTTCAGGTGAATATATCTTTTTATTTTCATGCCTAGATGAAAATGAGCACTAAACCCTTGCAATGCAGCGATAGCCCTACTGCAAGAGTCAACATTATTTCTGCCAAGAGTTCTGTAGCAGTCAAGAAAGCACCAGGAAATGTAACTATTCATTTTTATGTATTAATTCTTTGTGCTCTGTGGCATTGTGAATGTCAGGTGTTTTAAAATATAACACTGCAAGAGTTTGGACAGATATGCTATTTAGCAGTGTCTTAAAATTGTAAGAGCACAAGTATATCAGTTGCAGAGCTTCAAAAGGCGGCATTCGGCTATTCACTCACTGCTGTTTGGCATCTATGAGACGTTGGAACGGCTGAGTCGAACTCCTTCTGCTCTTCGAGTCCGCTGAACATGCTGAGCATGTTCGGCCGACCCGAAACCAGCTGAAGCCAATATACGGCTGGAATCAACCGTACCAGCCTGAAGTGAATAGCCGAACAGCATTCAGCTCACTTCACTTCGGGTCGGTTAGTCACTCAGCTGCCTACGGCAGCTTTGTGAATAGACCCCTCAATCTCAACAGAATATACCCAAAGACCATTCAATACTAAGAGAAAATAGGTTCAGAACATTTGACTTTGACACATTCTTACAGCAGCCACAGCTTTATACATTTTGCACATAAATACCTAAAACTAATATGCTAATGCTGGTAAATTTACACAGAACAAAAGTACCTGCAACTTTGCTCTATGAATAGCTATGCATTTTTTTAAAATAGATGCCCAAGAGTTCTGAACAGGCTTTAGCACTGCAGTGTAGACACTGAACCGTACCTGCACATACCTTTATATGCTCTGTTCTGTTTACATTTGTACAGTACAAAATTCACTATATCAGATCATATCATGACACACACATTATGGAATTTTTTTTATTTAATTACCTGAGTTAACCAGTTGACATCCGTGGTGTTAAACCCCCTTCCCATCCAGGCCATTTTTCAGTATTCAGCGCTGCGGTACTTTGACTGACATTTATTCCGTCATGCAGCGCTGTACTGAAATGAATTTTATACCCTTTTTTGGGGACAGATAGAGCTTTCTTTTGGTGGTATTTATTCACCACTGGGGGTTTTATTTTTTTACTATATTAAGGAAAAATTACCGAAATTTAAAAAAAAAAACAGTTTCCCCTATATTAAATGATAAAACATTTATTATTACCCAATTTTTTGGTAAAATATAAAAGATGGGGTCACGTTGGGTAAAAAGACACTAAACATGTCAAGCCTTAAAATTGCGTGCGCGCGCGAAACCTCAAAAAACGATAATACCCAAAATTGGCCATAGGCGACGCTTTAAAAGCTGTTACCGCTCATCAGTTTAGTGTTATCAGTGATTGATGGCCCTAAAATGATTGCTCTCACTGCGACGTTCGCGGCGATATGTAACGTGTAGCGCAATTGTAATTTTTGCGCGCTGGGGCACCGGACGCGTATTTACGTTTATAGGCGCGTAAACGTGGGGGTGGGGGAGTTAAACATTTTGGGGGGGTTTTTTCCCCTTTTTTTATATGTGGCTTTTATTTTATTTTATTTTTTTATGTGTTACTTTTCTTTTTTTTTATTTATATTTTTTTTTTTGCACTTATTGTTATTGCTATTATATAGGGGGATAACAACCCCCTATATAATAGCAAAGGCACACTGACAGGTCCTCTTTATGGAGATATTAGGGGTCTCTAGGACCCCTAATATCACCTATGGACCCCAAAAGAAGCTGATAAAGCAGAGATCTGCTTTATCAGCTTCTTCTCTCGCCAGATGACTGACAGGTGAATGCGGAAGTGATGTAATACACATCACTTCTGCATTCACAGCCCGGACGGAGATCAGCAAGGAGCTGATCTCCCGTCCTCCTCCTCCTGACGCCCTCGGAGCCAGTCCCGGGATCCAAGATGGGGCAGCGGATCCCGGGAATCAAGGTGAGGGGGCACCTATATGTGCGAACGAGCACATATAGGCGATTGGCGGGCTATGGACCCGCTGATCGCCTATATGTGAAACACCCGGTAACGGGTGTGTGCAACGGTCGGGTCTTTTCTGCCCGTGCGTGCCCGCTAGGGGGCGCGCGCGAGCAGAAAAAAATTGCCGTCTGGAGACGGCAACCCGCAGATGTAGCAGTGCCGTCCGTCCGTTTTTTTACTACGGGCGGACGGCAAGAGGTTAATGGCTTTTTTTAAATAAATGTCTCTCCAATTAATTTCATAGTGCACTTCCTAGAGGATGTGGCTTTATGCAGTCTCTGTGGACTATATTACTATTATAATCTCAGTTACCTTGTGTAAATATAGAAATAAGCAGGCATGTTGGGGAGAGACTGATGTACATTTAATATCTATGATTTCAACCAACCAAAAAGTCTTTGTATAGATTTTTGGAATGATTAAATTATAAGTGACAAATAGTAAACAGTAATTACAAATAACTTAGTAGTCATTCTTACAATGCATTCTCTAAAGTAGTTTTAAGTCCATTTTCTGCAGTGACTTTAGCATCAGTTTAGCAGTTGACCTTGGCAGGCACAAGAAATCCCAAGGGTAAATAGTACTATAGTCAATTTAGGCAACTTATATTGCAGTCCAGCAAGAGATGCTCTGTGAGATGGTTTCTGTAGCTGTACACGTTTACTGATTCTTTTCCAAAAGTCTGATACATTTATTTTGTAACTCCCAGGTGACTTTAACAATTTCAACCAAGTTGTTTCGATCAGCAATTCTGTATATTTTAATGACTGTATTCCATATATGAGTGGTTATTTTTGGCAAGAAAAAAAAATGATGCAAAGACAAATAACTACCATGCAATAAGCAAAGGTGATGTTTTTGGTAATGAGTAACATTCTTACAAAAGTACTGAATATACAAATCTCTACTGTAAATGAAGGCACTTGCAACACTTCATCAATGGTAATATAGAAAAAAAATATGATTAAAAGTAAGTAGTTATGTGTTAGTTCAGTTTGGGAAAACTAAATATATTAATAACTTGAGGATTTTATCACAGAAGTGCTGGTAACAGGAAATGACTCTAACTTGAATTTTTATTTGTAACTGATTAAATGGGAGTCCATCACTTAAGTACATGAATTCAAATTGTACAACAATTCTCCAATTCATGAACTGCTTTACTGATCTTGTATTTATTCACATCTGATTATATGATTCAGCTATAATGTATGATTTTTCCCTCAAGTGGCAGAGTTTATCTAAAAATGCAAATCTGCTTATACTGACCTTTACATACAGTATGTTATTTTTGAATAAATGTCAGTCAAAGTACCGCAGCGCTGAATACTGAAAAATGGCCTGGATGGGAAGGGGGTTTAACACCGCGGATGTCAACTGGTTAATTCGGCTTTCATTTTATTTGCTTCTCACTGTTCTTCTTTCATAACACAGTAGGGTCTATAATATCTTTGCATGATGCCAGGTTTTTTTTTCAGTAACTTTAGAATTCCAATACTATTCAAAATGAAGACTTTGAACATGTCAGGAAGTTGATTACAATTTTCTTTGACATTATACTACTGCTACTTCTGTTATGCTATTACTGTAAGGGATGATGAAGATCTTGCTGTAGGCAGTCCCTTCTTTCTAAAGACAGTGTAAACCCTTGGTTCTAAAATGGTGGGTCACGGACCAAAAGTAGGTTGAAACCCTGTGTTCCGTGGGTTGCCGCATGCATTCCACTGTGGTAGGTGAGAGACCCCCCTCAGCCACCCCCTTGCGCAGCTCTGTCAATTCTCTCATTGAACAGCCAGTCAAAATATGCTGCCCAGCACTAATTGTCATCTTGGGTGGGGTGGGCTAGTGGTATGACCGCGAGGGAGCTCAATCCATACATGCATTGTTTACAGCACCCTCGCATGCCCTGTACAGGTGCCTGGACCAGAGCAATGTCACATTCTGGTTCCCAGCACCTCATGTGCAAGGGAGCTTTACAAGCAATGTACATTTGGATGGATCTTAAAAAAAGAAAACTATTTTTTTGGGAGTGTGTGAATGTCTGTGAGTGTGTGAGATTGTGGGGTTGATTTACTAAAGGGAAATAAGCTGTTCACATTCAAAGGGAATTTGCACTTTACATGGGAAGTTTCACCTTAGTTTAGTGAATGAGGGGAAGTTCTGTTGACTCCCATCACCCAATCATGTGCAAGCAAAAATACTGTTTTTTTTTTAAATTTTCCTTGCAAATGTTTGATTTTCTTTGCAAAGTGCAATTTCAGGACATTAAACAAGCTAAAGGAAACATTCCCTGCAAAGTGCAAATTCTCTTACAATGTGAACAGCCTATTTGCCTTTAGTATACCAAACCCACTGTCTGTGGTTGTGTGTGTGTATGTCAGTGTTTTTGAGGGCCTAGTTATACTAGTGGAGTGCGTTAATTGCACATTCCTGTGCGATTAATACACTGTACCACGTAATAGCACCTATCACATGTTCTGGTGCGGGAGGTGCATTGCGTTGCCATTCATTTAAATAGCACCCCATATATATATAGGGATATATACATAGGGATGTGGTTGTGTTCAAAATTAACCAATCACATTCAAACTGATGTTAAATAGTACTCAGTACACACCTGCCATAAATTAATGTGACTTTGATTAGGCCCACATAAAGTTCAGCTGTTCTAGTAGGATTTTCTGACATTTACTCAGTTGACTCTTGCAGCAAAGCCATGGTCTCCAAAGAGCTTACGAAGCATCAAAGGGATCTCATTGTTGGAAGGTATCAGTCAGGAGCAGTGTACAAAAAAAATCTAAAAAAAATTGGCATTTTTACAGGGGAGTGTAGACCCACTGTATTTACCCACTGTATGTGTGCATACACACACACACACACACACACACACACACACACACACATATATATTTGGTGTTCTCTTGCCTTAACTGACAAACTGTCATGTTGATCAGTATTGCTTCTGAACTGAAGAAGAGAGGCTCACTCTTGAAAGCTTATCTTTTATATATTTTGTTAGTCCAATAAGAACAGTATCATTGCACACTGCAATACTACGTATATATATGTATATTTGTATATACAGATAGATAGATACTATCTATCTATCTATCTATCTATCTATCTATCACTGTACAAAACAATGCATCCTGCTTACATTTTATACAACAGAGTGAAAATGACAAAACCCTTATAAATCTTTCCTCTTATATGAACAGGAATTGGGGGGACTGGACGGCAGTCAGTCACAAAGCTGGCTGCATTCATGGCAGATATTGAGCTCCATCAATTTAGTATTCAGAAATCATACACAGTCAGTGAATGGAGGGACGATCTGAAAAAGGTGCTGCGAGCTGCTGGACAAAATGGGACTCCAACTGTGTTTCTGTTTGCTGAGCATCAAATAAAGGTAGAGCAACACAACGTTAATATAAACCAGAAAAAAATATATATTTTAGAACTGTATCCAGCAACTAGTCAGAGTGTGAGAGAGATAAAAATAATAAATCCCTTGTTATGCAGGCAGTAATAATAGCCACTTAGAAACGGAGGGATACTTCTGCTATAGAACTGTAATACCAAATGCTGTGTAAATCTGCTCAGTAAATTGCCTGTTTTAGTTCTCAAAATGCACATTATGAAAATGATAGTAGTTTTATGAATGCTTGTTAAGGTAGATGAAGAAAGATGGGGCTTCAAACTATAAATCTGTTTGGCAAATAACTTGACTACAAAAATGTAAGAAATAAATTAATAGTGAAAGGAGTTTTAGGACATACTTTTATTATTTGAATTGTAAATGAGCAATTTTCTTACTTGCAATAGGATGAGTCATTTTTGGAAGACATCAACATGATCCTGAGCACTGGTGATGTTCCTACCCTGTTTAATAATGAAGAAAAACTGGAAGTCATGGAAAAGGTCATCTTTCTTTTATTGTTCTCCCGTCAGAGGTGCTTGCAGACTGAGAGGGTGGGAGGAGGCATCAGAATTATTTTACGATACAAGCGACTTACTGTAGTCTAGGCAAAAAAAAGGACAAAAGAAAGATCTGTTTTCAGTTACATTGGAACCACTACCTGCTATAATGTCTTTTTTATTTTTTTATGTGTATTGATTTAGTTAATGTTCAGTATGAAATACAATGTAGCTACTTACACTGATGACTGATTTTACCATTTCTAATGTTATTCCTGTGTGGTTCCTGGCTATAACAATTTATGAGGGAAACCCATAGCAAAAGCATTAATGATCTCTTGTCTCTTTAATCCCCTTTTCATATTCATTTCTAAATACAAAACAAGAGGGTTATTCACAAAGCTAGCCGAAGGATCAGCCGGAGCTCCGGCTGATCCTTTGGCTAGCTTCAGCCACCGAAGGGCTGCTGTACGGGTTATTCACTATAGCTCCCGAAGCTGGCAAAGCTACTGGCCATTTAACTACAGCTCCCGAAGCTGGCCAAGCCGAAGGCATATGCTTCAGCTCGACAGAGTCGAAGTGAAACCCAAAGCGGGCTGAACGGGCCGAAAGCCTTGCAACTGACAGCTGGGGGGAGCCAGCCTTGATCTCACAGCTGGCTCCACCTGGTTGCAATGACAGATCAGCGTCCCCAGGTTACCTGGGGATGCTAAACTGTAATTAAACAATGACAACTTAGCGGAGCTGGCCATGACATCATGGCTGGCTCCGCCCAGTTGTTATTCATTGGCCCGGGACCTGCTAGAGGACTCCAGCAGGTCACAGCCTATAGGAAACAGTATAGCAGAATAGCTGAGCCGAATGCTGGCTACTTGCTCACTGCTGTTCGGCCCCCATGAGAATAGGCCAAACGTCAGCCGGAGGTTCAGTTCAGCTGGTCCAGATGTTGGATCGGCTGAGTCGAACTCCTTCTGCACTTTGGCTCTGCCAAACATGTTCGGCCGAACCGAAGCCAGCCGAAGCAAGCCGGTGTATGGCTGATTTCAGCCGATGTACTGCTGAAATCAGCAGTATAAGCCTGAAGTGAATAGCCGAACAGCATTCACTTCAGGTTGGTTATTCACTTGGCTGCCTTCGGCAGCTTTGTGAATAACCCCTTGTGTTTTCATAACAAACTGTTTCTACAGGTTCCCAAACTTTATATACATTGATTTCATCCAAACTGTCAAATGCTAGGCAACCTGCAGATATCACTGTCTAGCCAGAAAGCACTGTTCTTGTGGGTCCCATAGCAGTTCCATGATCTGCTATGCCTACAGTTATGTCTACAGTTAGTGGTGTCTTATCCTTAACTCCTCAATATTGGACATGTGCGATTCGTTTCGTTCCGAAAATAAATTCGGATGAAATTTCGGAAATTCAGAGATTCGGATGTCCCTGAAATACGAATTGCAGCTAAAACGAATGCAAATGAATCCGAATTCCCGATTTCCTGAAATCCGTAAGCGGTAGTCCGGTTGAAATCTCATTTTTGGCAAAATGACCTTAGGAAAACATTTTTATTTTTTTTTTAGTTTGCAGAAGATGAAAAAAAAAAGCGTGAGGTTCCCCCCCCAATTCATACCAGACCCTTTAGGTCTAGTAGGAATGTTAAGAGGGACCCCCGCCCCCCAAGTTAAAACACACAAAAAAGTTGTGTGGGGGGTTCCCCCCAAATTCCCTACCAGACCCTTTAGGTCTGGTAGGAATTTTAAGGGGGAACCCCAGCCCCCAAAAATGGGGAAACAAATGTGAGGTCCACCCTAACAGTCCTACCAGACCCTTGATCCAAACACCGGCCTGGCAGGGGAGGAAAGGGGGGATGATCAAGCGCCCTCCCTGCACCTTACCAGGCCACGTGCCCTCGGCATTGGGAGGGTGTCCCCACACTGATTGAGACAAGGGCCTCTTCCCCACAACCCTGACCTGGTGGCTATGGGGGTCTGCGGGCAAGGGGGCTTATTTGGATCTGGGTACCCCTTTAAATAAGGGGGCACCCAGATGCCGCCCCCCCTGTGAATGAGTAAGAGATACTTGTACCCCTACCCATTCACTAAAGGGTATAGTTAGTAAAAGTCAATTTGTGACTATTCCTTTAATTAAAAAAAAATGGCTCCATCGATGTAATCCAGTGTCAATCACGATGCACGACCCCTGACGAAAACTGGCTGCAAAATGACATTCAGCCCGAAAGTAAGTGGACTGGAGGAGCGAGCCGTGATGTCACGGCTCACTCCGCCCATTTGACATTCTCAGCTGTCAAATACTACATAGCATTCGGGAGCTCCCCAATGCTGTCCGTGATATGCCGAATGCTATTCAGGTCTGTTAGCCGAGGTGTGATAATGCTTTTCATATGGTCTGGTGGGGATTTGGGGGGGAACTCCACGCACTTTTTTTGTGTTTTAAATTAGGGGGTCCCTCCTAACATTCCTACCAGACCAAAAGGTCTGGTATGAATTGGGGGGGAACCTCACGCTTTTTTTTTTCATCTTCTGCAAACTAAAAAAAATAAATGTTTTTTTTTCCTAATGTCATTTTGCTGCAACAGATTTCGTCCAAAAAACGAAATTTCGACCGGACTACCGCTAACGAATTTCGTCCGAATCCGAATTCCGAAATGAAAGGAATTTAATTTCGGACCCAAATCCGAAAAAATGAAATAATGCAAAATCCAAATCAAAACGAAACTAAACTAAACAAATTTTTTGCTGGTGCACATGTCTACTGAATATGCACTACCCTTATGCTGCATAAACACCTTTCTATCTATCCCCTTGCAGTAAACAAGACCATGCTAGAGCTCATGACAGGAGAGACTACACCACAAATCAACAATGGCCCTTTTTATATCCATTCTCTTTTATTTCAGCAGCCAGTGCAAGCACTACCACTGTTCCTGTGGTAGTGTTAGAGCTTTAGTTTGATGGGGAATTAAATTAAGAAGTCTCTCCAGATGGTTTTCTCTCTTGATGTCTGTTAGATTTTTTAGGTGAACACTAAAGAATATCACAATAAATGCAGTCAAACTAATTTCCTAGCAAGTCATGGTCAATGCAAAGAGAGCTGGAATGGTTGGGCAATGGGTTTCAGCTTTAAGTTTTCTAATAACAATAATGTGTTTATTTATGAAATCAGTACACAAAACGTTAATCATTTGCACTGAGCAGTGACCTAAAGCTAGTTGGTTTACTGCAGTTAGAACAGTGAGAGATTATTTCTGATTTGTTGCTTAAAGGTTTTGTATTTTTCACACTGTCCTTTAACATATTGATTAACCCCATTAATCCTTCAAATATACAAGCAAAAGAAAGATTTTAGTTAAAGGCTTTCTTTTACTCGATAACATGATGTTTTATTATTCAGTAGAAATTAAACAAAATATTAGGTCAGATATAGGTTTATGGTCAGAGTTTACAAGTGCATTGCTTGTAGCCAACTTAAAAACATCCTGCCAACAGTTGTTTCACACTTTAAAATGGAGATCTGTGGTTGTCTTAAGGAAGCATCCTAGAAGTGTGAATCAGCTGTTGGCCGTATATTTTTATAGTAACTGTAAAATGAACTTTTAACCTTCATATCGTTGGCAAAGAATTTGTAGCTTGAATTTCCACTTCAGTGTTTAACTGTAATACAGTGTGAATACATTCTACAAGTGTAACATGGTTGCAAACTGAACTTATAAAAAAACTGTCTCTAAAAGCATGATCATACAAGAATATGTGATGCTTGCCTGGTGTTTGCTGCCTAATATGTACTGTAATAATTTGATGCTAATTAGGCATTACTGTTGCAAATTGTACCAAAGTTAAACCTTCATAAAGAAGAAGAAAGAATTCCAGGGGGTTTCAATGTCTACCTTCCATTGACTTTTTTTAACTTTTTTAACAATTTTTCTGTTCTGCTCGGTCCCTCTGAGGGACCGTGCCCCCCCTGTGAATGAGTAAGAGATACTTGTACCCCTACCCATTCACTAAAGGGTATAGTTAGTAAAAGTCAATTTGTGACTATTCCTTTAATTAAAAAAAAATGGCTCCATCGATGTAATCCAGTGTCAATCACGATGCACGACCCCTGACGAAAACTGGCTGCAAAATGACATTCAGCCCGAAAGTAAGTGGACTGGAGGAGCGAGCCGTGATGTCACGGCTCACTCCGCCCATTTGACATTCTCAGCTGTCAAATACTACATAGCATTCGGGAGCTCCCCAATGCTGTCCGTGATATGCCGAATGCTATTCAGGTCTGTTAGCCGAGGTGTGATAATGCTTTTCATATGGTCTGGTGGGGATTTGGGGGGGAACTCCACGCACTTTTTTTGTGTTTTAAATTAGGGGGTCCCTCCTAACATTCCTACCAGACCAAAAGGTCTGGTATGAATTGGGGGGGAACCTCACGCTTTTTTTTTTCATCTTCTGCAAACTAAAAAAAATAAATGTTTTTTTTTCCTAATGTCATTTTGCTGCAACAGATTTCGTCCAAAAAACGAAATTTCGACCGGACTACCGCTAACGAATTTCGTCCGAATCCGAATTCCGAAATGAAAGGAATTTAATTTCGGACCCAAATCCGAAAAAATGAAATAATGCAAAATCCAAATCAAAACGAAACTAAACTAAACAAATTTTTTGCTGGTGCACATGTCTACTGAATATGCACTACCCTTATGCTGCATAAACACCTTTCTATCTATCCCCTTGCAGTAAACAAGACCATGCTAGAGCTCATGACAGGAGAGACTACACCACAAATCAACAATGGCCCTTTTTATATCCATTCTCTTTTATTTCAGCAGCCAGTGCAAGCACTACCACTGTTCCTGTGGTAGTGTTAGAGCTTTAGTTTGATGGGGAATTAAATTAAGAAGTCTCTCCAGATGGTTTTCTCTCTTGATGTCTGTTAGATTTTTTAGGTGAACACTAAAGAATATCACAATAAATGCAGTCAAACTAATTTCCTAGCAA